TTTAGGTTTAGGGTTAGGTTTAAGATTAGGTTTAGGGGAGTTAGGTTTAGGTTTAGGGTTAATTTTAGGTTTAGGGTTTACAGCGTGCTTCTGTCTCCGCGCTGTTGTCGCCCTGTTGATGACGTCAGTGACGCGGTTTAGTCGGGCACAGTTTAGTCGAGCGCGGTTTTGTGGTGGAACCCCAGAAGAGTAGGAGAATATTGGGACTATAGCTAGGCTGCTTTCAAAAATGCAGAGAGACTTAGCAGTCCCAAGAAAGTCCCATATCCATCTCCACTCTGATTCAGGTGACCCTGAGGATACAGATAAATCCCCAAGTGGCCTCAATGCTTCTCAATAACCAAACTTCAAAGTGCTAATGACCAGATGACTGCAAAGAATACAAATAAGAGGTGGTATTCAGCAAGTCCTGACCAGTTCTGGAGAACAGGTACTGAAAGTTTGGAGCAGTAGCCCTCATCTTTTCTCTGCCTCCCAAGTCCAAGCTTATTCGGAGGAAATGGGGATTTTGCAGTATCCTTCCCCTGGAGTGAGTGGGGAATTGAGATTTTACAGTATCCTTCCCCTGCCACGCCTACCAAGCCACGCCCACCAAGGCACATCCCACCCACCAAGCCACGCCCACAGAACCGGTAGAACATTTTTTTTGAATCCCTCCACTGATACAAATCCTTCTATTCCACACCATTCAGTCAGAACTGAAGAAAGGGAGAAAAAACCCAGTTGCCTTTTGGAAAAGCACCTTTGGGACAACTATTGTGTAGTGGGCTTTAATAGGCAAGAACCAGACCAGCATAGCTACAGCAGCATTTATTGACTCAAAATTGGTACCGAGGAACTGCAGGCAAATGCCTGTAATTTATACTCTGGCCCCACATGGTCTTAACCAATCACTTGAAAAACCCTCCCAAATATGATTGCTCAAAGTTTCCCTCCAAAACAGTTGGCGCTAACAGTGAGCGCCATCTGAAGGTTAGTTTCACTTTAGCAGGGCTTCACACAACTGTATACATTCAATACATAACAACAACCATGGCCTGGATGATAGAGAATCTCCATAGACATGCAGCGAGACTTACTTGTGCTAAAGCTTCCCGTGAGTGGCTCAGACTGACCCTCACTATAGAGGGAGAAAACGGCTACAGTATATTCAGTGAGAGATGTCAAGCTCTTCAGAATGTGTGCTGACACTTGATCAACTTCTTCCTGCATCAGGAAGGCGACAGGAATGAGAAAAGTGGTTACAAATCCACATTTACATGAGGATGGAAAATCCATATCTACATCAAGAATAGGAAAGAGGCTTGGTTTAATTCTTTACCCAGTGAGGACTTCACAAGTGAAAAAGAGAATCTGGGTTAGACCCCAGGCTGCATCAATCAGTCTCTTGGCAAATTCCCCATTTTACAGAAAGGAACAATCTGTAAGATGGGGAAATAAAGGGTTTACCCCCCTTTAGCTAAATGGAAAGGAGGGGCAGAGAAAAGAGGGCAGGTGCTGACATACTCATCATTCAGGGATGGTTGGAAGCAGAATGTTATCCAAATCATGACGGTTAGTCCTCGATTTACGACCACAGCTAAGCCCCAAATTTCAGTTGCTAAGTGAGACAGTTGTTGAGGTTTGCCCCATTTAGTGACTATTCTTGCCATAGTTGTTAAGTGAATCACTGCAGCTGTTAAGTTAGTAACAGGGTTGTTAAGGGAACCTGGCTTCCCCATTGGCTTTGCTTGTCAAACGGTTGCTAAAGGTGATTGTTAACTCGCAAAGTATCCCTGGCCTGCTCTTGAGTTGCCATAGGAGAGTGATCTCTACAACCCGCGAAATTGCTTCATTGGAGAATGTGACTGATGACACACCTTGGGGGAAGGGAAGAAACAGGGTCAAAGCCAGGACATAAATTAAGTGAGGTAAGAGTTGGCTACATTTGGTCCATGACGACATGAAGCTCCTAATAAATAACCAGATTTCTTTTGAAGCCTGGCATAAGGCTCATTATTTAATTAGGGCATCGATCGGAACCCTGACAGTGATCCCATGACCTTGGGACACTGCCATTGTCATAAATACATTATGGCTTGGATTGTGACACCATGCCCACCATGTTGCCTTTGTTGACACTCCAATGGACACTACTGCTAGAAGGGCAAATGTGGCTGACCTAATCAATTTCATCCAAAAGAAGAAAAGAAAGAAAGAAATGACTGTGCTGAACATATGAGCATTTACAAACCGGATTCCCTTCCTAATGCCTACACAGAGTTCACAGCAGATGCGTTTTTTTCTGTGAGCCCTGGGAGAGAAACATTTGCTGCTACCTAGGCTCAAACTCTCAAGCTTCCAAGTTGCACGTTTGACCTTCCAATGGACATCACTGCCAGAAGGGCGAACTTGGCTGACCTTGTCAATTTCATCCAAACAAAGAAAAGAAAGAAAGACTCTTGCTGAACACTTGAGCATTTAGAGTCCGGATGCCCTTCCTGATGCCTACGCAGAGTTCACAGCAGATGGGTTCTTTTCTGTGAGCCCTGGGAGAGAAACATTTGCTGCTACCTCAGCTCAAACTCTCAAGCTTCCAAGTTGCATATGTTGACCCTCCAATGCACACCACTGTTAGAAGGGCAAGCTTGGCCGAACTTGTCAATTTCATCCAAAAGATGGAGGTGAGTGTCTTTTCCGCTAGGCCACCACAGCACTCACTATTGTCATTATTCCACACTAAGTCTAAAAAAAGAGAAACAAAACCAAAGATCTCCTCTTTCACAGAAGCCAGTCCAGCAGCTCAGTATGAAACGGGCACGAGAAGGCAGAGATCGGGGTGGTGAGCATCCCCACAGCATCCCCAACATATACATCAGCTAACTGGAACGAAGACATCTCTTTAAGAAGGCTTGAAGTGCCACAAGTGAACTGGACCATCCTGTTTACGCTAGCCAAGAGGAAACACGCTATTTCTGATGAAACTCAGATGGTGGTCACCTTCCCAACATCCATGGGATGGGCTAAGGATGATATCATCCGTGACTCCCAAACCGATTGGTGGTTCATCCTCTCATCAGGGTAACCAGAAATAGTGGATTAGCCCTAAAGTTAATTGTGTGGGCGATGATATCAGCATGAATACAATCCCCCTTGGCCCATTTATTCAAACAGGATCATGATGTCAGAGACCATCAGTCAGCCTAATGAACTGAGGGGGGGGGATAAACAGAACAACCCAAGGACATATGTTTGTTATTTTTGTTTTGTTTTCAAAGTGCCCCAAAAGGAATAGTATCTGTTTAAGAGCCAAACAGCTGGTCCTCAATTTTCTTTTTGAAAAGGGTTATCCTACCTATCAGCTTCAGCTGATGAGAGGGAAAAAATGGCTGCAAGTTAAGATGGACGGTGAGGGGAAAATATCCATTGGTTGTTTCTCGAGGGTGGCATCCATGGAATATTTATAATGTTCTGGACAGGCCAGATGGAGATCTTATTCCCCTGGTCCAGTGGCCTCAAGCTTGCAATTCAAGACTCTCTAGTTAAATTTCCTGCTTCGTGTAGGCTGGGAACCAGCTGCTTCAGTTATTAGAGGTGAAGATAGATTGAGAGCTAGAAAGAAATAGAATAGAATAGAATAGAATAGAATAGAAGAGAAGAGAAGAGAAGAGGAGAGAAGAGAAGAGAATTCTTTATTGGCCAAGTGTGATTTGACACACAAGGAATTTGTCTTTGGTGCATATGCTCTCAAGTACATAAAAAGACAAGATACATTTGTCAAGAATCATAAAGTACAACACTTAATGATAGTACATATAAGCAATCAGGAAACAATCAATATCAATATAAATTGTAAGGATTGTACTAATAGTAATGCAGCCTTAGTGAATGGTTTGACAATGGTGAGGGAATTAATTGTTTAGCAGCGTGATGGCATTTGGGGAAAAAACTGTTCTTGTGCCTAGTTGTTCTGATGTGCAGTGCTCTATAGCATCGTTTTTAGGGTAGGAGTTGAAACCATTTATGTCCGGGATGTGAGGGGTCTGTAAATATTTTCACAGAGCTCTTTTTGATTCCTACAGTATGCAGGTCCTCAATGGAAAGCAGGTTGGCAGTAATTGTTTTTCTCTGCAGTTCTAATTATCTTCTGAAGTCTGTGTCTGTCTTGTTGGGTTGCAGAATCAAACCAGACAGTTATAGAGGTGCAGATGACAGACTCAATTATTCCTCTGTAGAACTGTATCAGCAGCTCCTTGGGCAATTTGAGCTTCCTGAGTTGGTGCAGAAAGAACATTCCTTGTTGTGTTTTTTTATGACATTTTCAATCTTACTGGTGGTGTCCATTTTAGGCCTTGAGATATGATAGAACCTAGAAATTTGAAGGTTTCTACTGTTCATTCTGGGTTGTCTAGTATTGTAAGAGGTGGTGGTATGGGAGGGTTTCTCCTAAAGTCTACCACCATTTCTACAGTTTTGAGTGTATTCAGTTCCAGATTGTTCCGGTTGCACCAGGAGGTTAAGTTGTTTAATCTCCCATCTGTATGCGATTTCATCATTGTTTTGAATGAGACCAATCGCTGTTGTGTCATCTGAAAACTTCAGTAGTTTAACAGATGGATCATTTGAGGTGCAGTCATTGGTATATAGAGAGATTCTTTTTTTTTTTAGAAAGCCATCTTTCCCAAGACAAAAATGCTGAAATGTAGTTAAACAACTCATGCCAAGCATAAAGCATAAAGTGGGCCTCTTGTTACACTGTGAAAAAAGGCCAGAGGAAAAGGCATGGAGTTTAAACCTACCAGGGTCTAAGAACAGGGGCAGAAAGCCTGTTGCATCTTGTTTCAGCTACAAAGATTCTTTACAAGCTGTATCATGTCGAAATTCTGGAACGCCTCAGCCAATTTCTTGTCAGGGGAAGGAGAGAGCCAGACAAGCAGGGAATGGAGGGATGGGTGCCAAGGATCATAAAGAAACGCTTATTGAAAAAGATGTCGATCTATATCAGCTTGGGAATACGAGTTTGCACAGATGGAGTGTTCTCAGAATTGACAGCAGGGAGGACTGCCTTGGCTAAGTGTTGTTCAGCCTCAGCAAACTAAGGATGTACGGACTTCAACTCCAAGAATTCCCCAGCCTTGAAGTCCATCTATCTTAAAGTTGCCAAGGTTGAGCAACATTGAACTAGAGCAGGGATGTCAAACTCAATTTCATTGAGGGCTGCATCAGGGTTGTGTTTGAACTTGGGGGGGAGGCCAGCTTGTCGTCACTTGTATCAGGGAGGGCCTGTGGTGGCTTGTGCTCTCTGCTGGCAAAAATGGCAAAGAGTTCTGTTTTCAGGCGGGATGGCCTCCTGCAGCCCTCTGCCAGCAAAAACAGAGCTCAGGAGGGCCGCTCACGGCCCTCACAAGCTCTATTTTTGCTGGCAGAGGCACCATGGGCCGTCCCTTCACTGTTTCCAGGGCAGCCCTACAGGGCAGATCTAAGCACCTCATGGCCCAGATCTGGCCCGCGGGCCTTGAGTTTGACACCCCTGAACTAGGGAGTCTAGGATACCAGGCTTGGGGCCCCTGGTAGGCAGTAAGATCTCCATTCTGGTCTGTCCAGAACATTATAAATATTTCAGGGATTTCACCCTAGAAAAATAGCCAATGCATATTTTTTCCAGAGTCCATTTTATTTGCTGGCATTTTTCCCTCTCATCAGCTGAAGTTCTATCACTATTTCTATCTGTCTATCCATCCAGCCATCCAGCCAGCCATAATCTGAGAAGGCAACAGCAAACTAATTCTTTATATACTGAGAAAAAACATGGACAGGTCTATTTAGACAACAGTAGGTCAAGTTTCATTTGAAGAAGGCTGCCTTTTCTTTGCTTAGCATATTATACCATTTACATTGAATAAAACAAATATTTAAAGGAAAGCACCTCACATGCTACATGACAGTTGATTGCAAAGCACAAAATTGCTCCACTGTGCCATTACTTGGTAAGAGAATATGAAAAATGGGAGGTGGGAAACTAATGGCTTAAATAATTAAAGAAGAGTTTTTTTAAAAAATGAGCCATATGCAAAATATAACAAAAACAATATATTTATATAGGGAGTTCAAATTTCATTGAAGAAGAAGCTCCAAATGCTTTCTTAAAACTTTGAGATGGACTTGCTTACCTTATTTTGATAATTTTTCTTAACCAAAGAAGTTAATCTAACTGCCATTATATGAGTTATTGGCAGACTGGTGGGGAAATATTGGTTTTAGATAATAGTTCTGTTTTTAAGTTCTTCCTGTTCATTCTTTTAAAAGTCTGCTTACCTCATTGGTTTCGGTCCCATCTGTCTTCACGTACATAATGCGATAGCCTTTGACCTTTGATGGAGGTGGATCCCATGTTATTTTGGCTGAGCTGTGATCCACATTTGAAAACTTCAAATTTCTTGGTGGGCTTAAAGGCACTTGAAAATGAAAATGAATCCATATTATAAATAATATCTTTGCCTTTCGGCCAGTTGACCTATTGTGATGTAGGAAGTTAGCACCCACCCCTCTCCCAGAAGAATGAAATATTCTAGGAAATATTTAAAAAAATCTTATCTAAAGAGAGATTCAAGAGACAGATTTCAAGTAAACCTAGTCAATGTACTGTTCAATCTATCTATATATAAAAGCCAAGAATCACTCATTCATCATGAAATCCCCAGAACCATAAAGCCTCCAAATTTGAAATTTGGCATGTATGGTGCTCTTGGCTTCTAGGTGCTCACTAAGAAAGGATTTTCCGAAATGACCATCAAATCATTAGTATTTCTTATACAGCAATTAACACGCTCTGATGCTAAGGAGTTCTACTCCCCCTCCCCACCTGAGAAGAACTGTTCCAACTGCCAGTTGCCTTATATTAATACACTCTGATGCTAAGGAGTTC